ATAATAAATATTAAAATTCATGGCTCCAGTTTGTTCAGTTCAGTTCAGTTTTGTTTATATAAACTAAATCACAGCAAACGGTCCCCTGAAGATGCTTTACATTGACGTAATACAGAGAAAAAGTACAGGATAACAACAGTAATTATATTTTACCATTAAAAATAGTTTTGATAAACCATACTTGATAAATTTGTTAAGTACTGTACATTTGACGAAGAGAACTTACATTATAGGTTCATGTTTTTATAAACTTGGCTATTTTAGTTTTGCTAAATGTATTTATTTTTATTTACCCTGGCTAATTTCGTATTTTTCTGATGCTAGGTGTCTTGGTCTTTTAAATCTTAATCCTTGCTCGTAATCATGTTACGTTAAAGGATGAGCCAGGGTTGCTTTTATTAGGGATGCTCCTGATGACTAATATCTAGTCATTTAAATTAGAGGGGGGGAAAAACATGATCATCGACTAACGTGTTCAGAAAACATTTAAAACTGAATACACTTTAAATGCACAAGTGAAAGATTGGCCAAATTGTTGTTTAGTGTGTGGTTAATGGTAGTTACTGAGACTACATTAAAATTATTCCCCAAAAATCAGTTTGTAGCCTAACTATGTAAGACAAAATGGTGCCTTTCTTGACTTGTATGTTTAGACTAAACTGCCCCAGAAAAGCACAGAATTGGAGAACTACCAAGAATAATGGGTTAATGAGAAGCTACTGTATGAACAAAACAAACGAGCTGCTAACGTCTGCCGGGCAGTTGTTATATCTTTGTGTCATGAAAAAGAATTCTCTGCTAACATTTTGTTTTTTCACCTTCACAGGAGGTGTTGCTGTTCCCAGCCATGAAGCCTGATGACAATAAGACAGCAGCGCCATCAGAGGGCACCTCTGTCTAATAACATGACCTCGGACCTCTCCTGCTATCACACCTTTGCAGGAGTCGGCATGAAGAAGAAGAATGAGCCTTTACCTCATTGTTGTCATCAGTGGAGTTTCTGGGTCTTGTGTTTTATCAATGTTAGTTTGTCAAATGATTGATAATTTCTGTCAGTAAGGAAAATCATCAGGTCTCAAATACACGTTTTGGATTTTCTGGGTTTTTTGTTTGTTTTTTATTCCATACACTTTCGCAATCCTGTCTGATCAAAATATACTTTGAGCTATTTAAAGGGATGCTTTAGGGTACAGCATATAATAACAATGTTCAAGACCCTCTAATACTCAAGTCTTTTTACCAGGTCTACTTAAAATCCTTGTCTAAGTTTTTCAAGTTGGACTCCACAATAATCCTTTGCCAAGAGGTTTGAATAAAGTTCATATAAAGTAAACTGATTTCTTAAGTCTTGTGTATGTGTTTATTTTATTTATTTATTTTTTAACAAGAATAAACCTGTGCTCATAGTTTGACATTTGAATTTATACATTTGTTTAATATCAAGGCTCCTAAAATGTGGTATATTTAACTTTTTAATGTTTGGTTTTTCACTATAGCATAATTTGGCAAGTGAAAATGGATGGTAGGATTTAATTATGAGGGATTATTATTTTCAGTATTCATAAAATTTGACCTAGTAACTCAATGAACCGAGTCTGAAAATTGAAACGCAAATAATCTCTTTTTCATAAAGAATGTACTCATTAACCCAACACAGTAAGTGACACCAATGGAATCACAAATATTAGTCCATACAAAGCACTGTAGCAAACAATGAAAAGTTCAAATCCACTAATGAGCCTAACTGCATCTACTGGTGTGGTTATTCCCAAAAGTGTCTGTCATTGTGTTTGTGTAAACCACTTAGCTTTTGCTCTTTAAAAGAATCTCCAAAAGTTGATTCTGTTCATCTGGACGTAGCATTTTCAGTGGGAGAAATGTTTCCTCACTCATCCAAGTGACTTCAGTCTCAGCTGACTGCAGGTTTCCCCAAATTTATAAACAGTACATTTGTATAATAACTGAAACCAGCCCACTGAAGGAACAATGGGCTGGGAGGTCAGTTCCTTCATCATAATTATGCAAATTCTCATGACCATTGATCAACAACCACTGATCAAAGACCACTGATCAATGGCCATGAGTCCCATTCACAGAGAGTTGGGGAATGGCTGCAATCACAGCATTGTAAGATGGTGAAAGATGTACCCTTAGACCCCCTCCTCGATTCAGAGATGGTCTTTCCCTTTTCACGTAAATGGCCTCCTTGACTCCGCACTCAAACCAGCGTTCCTCCAGGATTTGTACATCCTCATCACTGAAAGAGTGTCCACTGGCCTGTAGGTGTAAATAGACTGCAGAGTCCCGGCCTGACGAGGTGGCTCTTCTGTGTTGTGCCATCTGCTTCGCCAGAGGTTGTTTGGTTTCTCTGATGTATAAATCTTGGCACTTAACAGCGTACACTATGTTACTCTGTTTGTGTCGGGACACCCGATCCTTGGGGTGGACCAATTTTTGACGCAGCGTGTTTTGGGGTTTAAAAGCCACAGAGGCCCAGTGTTTAGAAAAAATGCATCTCAACTGAGTGGTCTTTGATCAGTGGGCCTTGATCAGTGGTTGTTGATCAATGGTTATGAGAATTTGCATAATTATGATGAAGGTGACCTCCCAGCCCACTGTTCCTTCAGTGAGCTAGTTTCAGTCATTATGCAAATGTACGTTTATGTTGACCTGCAGTCAGCTGAGACTGAAGAAGTCACTTGGATGAGTGAGGAAACGTTTCACCCACTGAAAACGCTACGTCCAGATGAACAGAATCAACTTTTGGAGATTTACTTACCTGGATGATTGAGAATGCATCAAGACTCTTTAAAAGAACATTTTAAATATTTGTTTACATGCAAGAAAAGTTAGGAAATTTAAAATAAACGGTTTTGGAGGAAGGTTGGATATTGTTTCTCAATCACTTTGTCTCCCTTTTGGAGCATCAAGTGTATATACCCTACTATCTTGTTTTCAGAGTATTTTGTGTTGTTGCTCTTGGCTTTAAAAAAAGTCCCTTTTCATGGTAGATTCAATCACCGGAGCTCTGTGTATGATCAATTTCATTTTAAGTGTCACCAAGCATTGGCTGGAGAGGGTAAAAACTCTTCTAGCTTGTGCCTTTTGAAAGTTTAAGATTAAGTTTACCTTCAAGGGCAAAAACAAGGCCCTGCTCTGTTTTTCTCACAAACAGCTCTGAGTCAAGAACCAATGACTTTTAATCTCTGTCACCCAGACTGTGGTCAAGAGCCGGAGGTTTCTGCAGTTGGGAGCTGTCAGTATTGAAGAAGAAAGCATTTTTTCCACTCCCATAATGTCCTGCTTAAACAAACTAGGCCTGCTCATACATTTAAGGTACGCCTTGATGTCCCCAACAACACTTCTGATCCAGAAGTGTTATTTATTTTATTTATGCTTTTAAAGTCAAAGTGCTCACATGCAAATAGAGAATCAGCAGTTGTTTCTGGACCAGTTGAGCTCCGGTGTAGGTTGAGCCTCAGCATCAGCTTGACAACCAGATCACTAATCTTTTCCCTACAAGCCAGTGCAGTGATGCCAGAGTTATGTTCATACATCAGACACTGAGACACCACAGCCTTCACAGCTGCACAGTCCCAGCAGCAGTTTTTCATTTTTTTATTGAGTAATTCTGTTTATACCACTGCTTTATATACTACCAAAGAAACTACAAAATCATTTTATTATTCTCTGTAGTCATGTTAAAAAAACAAAACAACAAAAAAACAAAACCTTTCTCCATAAAATGTACAAAGCAGTTGCAGGAGCAAACCTGTGTATAGTTTAAATGTAAACAGCTCATCATAAATTCATGCTGCACTCACAGGAAACAGAATCCACATAAGTGGACTGTTTCACTGAGATTTGCACAGCTGACGAGTATCAACCTTTATATGGAAAATTAGTTTTTTTTCATCAGGCAAAAGGTACTTTTGTTTGATTAGAAACATAGATTTTTGCCCATTGGATGAGCGCATTAATAGGAACAGTATAGTATAACTTATTACATTTATTTAAGTACTTTGCTAAAGTACAGGTTAAATGTACCTGCACTTTATTTAGTATAAGTACATTTGCTTCTTCTCTAACATACTTTGTATGTAAATAGAGTACTTTGCGCACCATACTATTTATTTTACAGAATAAGTTACTTATTACTTTGCAGACAAACTGCAATTGCACAGATCAATCTACCCAGCAATACACGAGTAATTCAAACCGTCAGCAGCTGCAATGATCCAATAACGCATGAATCTGTTAAAAGTGTATTACTGGATTACTTGTTTTACAAAGTGGCAAGAAATATTTAAAATAAATGAAGAAATGCTTTATACTCAAGCAAAAATGTTATAATCATACTTCGGCTTTACAATCAAAATATATTTACACTGTTGTGAAGCACAACTTTTTTATGTAATAAATTTGTAAGACATAAGGAGCCTGATATTTTCTAGCATGTGATCACAATTCCCAGATAGCACTCATTGTTGTAGTTAGTTAATTTCAATAACAGGTGTTTAAAGTAATTTATAAATAAAATTTTAGTAAATATAAAAAGAAAATGTGTTTTTTTCACGGACTTGTTTCATGGACATTCTCCTCTTTTTTTTTTTTCTTCTTTTTGCCATTGCAAAAGAAATTCTCAGAAATTAAAGTCTTGGGGTCACCACCACCTCATATAAAATAAATCCTGGAAACGCCCCTGTTAAATAGGCTGCTATCCGACAGGTAAATTTTACGCAGGCACTTGAATATGTCAGTTTTATTTCAAACTAGAAAATTGCAGTTATTGATATTACTGTTATCGCGATTATTGTTTTAATATTATCGTTTTATACATTTTTTTCAATAGAAAGACAGAGCAAACGTAACAGCCATGTGCCGCCTTATCTACTGTACCTAAGTAGAACATGTAAGCATTTTCTTCTGACCCCATTAACTTTGAATAATTAGCATTTCTTTTTTTAAGTGTGCATTCACTCACTTTTGAGAGCTTTTTGGCCCCGGGTCTCTCACCTCCCACACCGTGTAGTGGGATGGTGCGCGCTCTCGCGGTCAAGTGATTCACTTTCGATCAAACTGTGGCTTCACACTGAGTGAAGATGGCGATGAGAGCAGCTCTGCGGTGCCTGTCTGCAAACTTTTCGCCCAGACTGCCTCAGCTCTCGCAGGTTTCAGCGACTCGGCTGCAGTGGAGAAGCGGCTCCCCGCGGACGCTGAGCACGTCCTCGGTCCTGTCTGCAGGTAAATATAATACATTTAAAAAATAATAATAATAATAACCCAGACTTGCCAAATGAGCTGTAATGGTACTACATGCGGGTTGCTCACACATTCCTGCCTGACTGTAATGGGTGGGAATAAAAGGGGTCACACAGTTTGTGTCACTTTCCCACAGGGCGGCAGAGAAAAGCGCGAGGAAAGACAACTAAAACGTTGTTTTAACTTTAAAGAAGCTTCACAGACCGAAGCTTACGTGCAGATAATTAGCCACCACATGTTATGCTGGCTAAAGGGTTCAGACGGCCGTATATATATTCTCTGTGAGAGGAGCACGAGCTCTAAATTGTGATGGTGACCAATTACCCGAGTCTCGTGCAGCCAGAAGCAGCTTGTTAAACAAAAGTCAGTGCTGGTACTGGGCATGAGCTACAAATGGCAGGGGAGGGATGACTATCATGTAGCTTTCATTAATTCTAAATCACAGACACCACCCTATCAGATATCCATACTTAAAAAAATATTCCTGAAGCAAATGAGTTACCAGAAAGCGTTTCTTGAGCCGTTTGCCTTGGCAGTTACTGTACTCCTTAGCAATCATCTTGCATAGTTCACTCTGGTTTGAACTTGTATTCTTCAGTGTTGGTCAGGTGCCAACACTGGAAGCTGTTGAGCCATTACAGTTCTCTCCTGCAGGGTAAACGCGACATGAGGAGCATTGAATCAAAATGGTTCAGTGTTTCTTTTCAAAACTGCAGCTCTGTCAGCTGTGGTTAGTGTTAAAGCAGTGATGGTGAAAATTGAAGATTTACCAAGCCAAAAAACGGGGATGTGACGTCCGCACAAATGCCTCAAAGTTAGCTCTTGTAGACAGCACACAACTGGTGGGCTTCCCATTGATGTAACAGCTTGTCAAGAAATTGACGTATGCGAATCAAAAGCGTCATCACTGTTCCACTGGTTCATACTGTTATAATTTCATCTTTAAACATAATCATTTGATCTGTTCCAGACTAATTCTCCTTTTGTTTTTCTCTCTGTAGCATTAAAGTTCACAGATAAGCACGAGTGGGTGCAAGTGGAGGGTGGTGTTGGCATTGTTGGTATCAGCAATTATGCCCAGGTAGGTTTGTCTTTCTACTAATTTATGACTCACGTGGTTCAGAGGTTTAACTATTACTATCTAAAAATAGCAATAAAATAGTCTGTAGAAAAATCTGCAGTGTGCACTTTAGAGCTGGTCTTTGCCCTCAACTGATGTGCTTTAACAGGCTAATTTAGTGCTTTTATGGCCAATGTTTGACACAATTGATCACTAGCATTGTGCAGGACTGGGCAGACACTTGGAGACATTCAAGGACTTGAATGTATACTGGAATATCTTTAAACATGAATCTAGCTTTTTAAAGAATCGTTATTACTGCTACCCCTTTTACACCTGACATACAGTGCTGTGAAAAAGTATCTGACCCCTTCACCTCTCTTTATTGTTGCATAGTTGCAACACGTCTGAGACTATCTAACAATCTGCGTAAATATTAAATGCAGTTTGATTTATTAAGGGACAAAATACAACCCAAACCTACCTGTGGAAATAAAAGTAATTGTCCCATAAGTCTTATAGCTGGTTTTTCCACCCTTGGAAGCAACACCTGCAATCAGTTTGCAATAACTGACACGAGGCTTTCACATCACTGTGAAGGAATTTTGGACAACTATTCTTTTCAGAATTGTTTTAAATCAGCCACATTGGAGGGCTTTGAACCATGGGCCTAGACTTGGAGGTCCTGATTCTCATTCCAGCCACATCACACTAATTTGCAGACCAACCCCAGTGAAAGCTGAAAGTTCTCGCTCGATGACTCTTAACAGAACCACATCATCTGCAAAAAGCAGAGATGAAATCCTGAGGCCACTGAACCTGACGCCGTCCAGGAGTTGGAGCCTTATTTCAGGAGTCATAGGATGCGAGGCAGGGTCCTGAGCAGATTACCAGCCAATCACAGGGCTAATGCAAACTCACTTCCACACTAGTTAACCTAACAAGCTTCTGTGATCTGTGTAAGGAAACAGAAGCACGTGGAGGAAAGCCAGGCACAGGTAGAACACACACAAAGGCCCGGCTGATTGGGAGGTTCAAAGTAGGAGGTACTGCAGCAGAATGCCGTCTTTCTGAAATGTCATCAAATTCAAAATCTTTTCATTTTACCCATCCTTGCTTTTTCACTATTTCAATATAGCCTTAGGATGAGGCTTACAAAAGACTAATGAATCCATGAAACATCCATGTCTTTAAACTAAGAAACAACCCTGAAAATGTTTTTTGAATTCTTTCAGGGTTATTTTGTATTAATAAGCTGGAGGTAATTTAGTATAACATCGACAAGGTTGAGTTTCACATTTATGCTGTGAAAGCATTGTTAAAGCTAACTGTGGCAGGCAGCAGTTAATAAAAGTGTGACAAAGCTAAAGCCAAATTTACAGTATATTGTTCTGTTGCAGTACCCTCTACAGACTGCCAGCATTTTAAACCTATCTGGTGAAATCTTACTGTTTTGGCAACAAATTTCATGAACTGTCTAAAAGTAATTCCCAGAAATTGATTCCGTTCATCTGGACGTTGTGTTTTGTGTTTATCCTTCACTGAAAAGAGAAGAATTTGTGAGATTTCCTTACCTGGATGAAGCATGCATTAGAACAATTTAAAATAAAATGATCCATCCGTCCTCTTCTGCTTATCTGGGGCTAGGTTAAGGTGGCAGCAGCCTAAGCAGAGATGCCCAGACCTCCCACTCCCCAGCCACCAGCCACAGAGGCGTTCCCAGGCCAGGTGAGAGATGTAATCTCACCACACTGGGCCTGCTGTGGGGCCTTCTCTCGGTGGGACATGCCTGGAATACCTCAACCAGGAGGCATTCTAATCAGATCCCAGAATCACCTCAACTGGCTCCTTTCAATGTGGAGGAGCAGCAAGTCCACTCTGAGTCCCTTTCCTTCTGTGGATCCACCACCCCCAGGAGGTGCCGTAGGGGTCAGGCACAGGGTGGGCAGGGGTGGAGGCCCAGGCTCTGATTCTTGGCTATGTAAACTGGCTATTGGGACAATAAAATGATCCAGAACAGTAAAAACCAGACTGACAGTTTTCAGTACTGTGATCATTGAACACAGGGACTCTTTACTTTGAGCCATCCTGCTGTTGCTGACTGCTTATTAAAACAATAAACTGATTATAGTATTAGACCCCCCCTAAATAAGCGTTGTATTCCTACAGTGCTGTTAGATATTGAAGTACTGTATGAAGTTCTCTAAATCTTAAATAAAAAAAGATTCTTGGACAACCTCCATGTGGTTATCTATAATACTTTGTCATATAGTTTGTTTTGTCATTTTAGGAAGCATTAGGTGATGTGGTATACTGTGGACTCCCTGAAGTCGGCCAAAGACTTGAACAAATGGGTAAGAGCTGTGAATTTTTGACATATTTATCAAGTGATTGATTCTAGTCTTGAAATAAGAAGTGTTTTTCCTCTGTGTGTATATGTGTGTTGCAGATGAGTTTGGTGCACTGGAAAGTGTAAAGGCTGCCAGCGAGCTGTACTCACCATTAACAGGAGAGGTGACTGAAATCAACACAGAGCTGGCAGAAAATCCTGGACTTGTGAACAAAGATTGCTATGCAAAGGGTGAGCATTCACCACCCAATGTCGTACTTTGCCAGTACACTTGTCCTTGTGATTTCTCAGAATTGCAGGATAGAGGACAACCTGCCAAACCAGTATTACAAAGAAGTAAAATTACAGCTCGTTCTTTTCAGCAAGTACAGCTCTTGATTTTGAAATAAACAAACTCTTATCTTTCAGGATGGATAATCAAGATGACCATCGAAAAGCCCGAAGAACTTGATGGCCTCATGGATCAAGCTGCATATGATAAATTTGTCACATCACTTGAATAAAATTATAAACTCATTTTGCTTTGTAATTTAATCACAGTCAAAGATTAGTCCCTGCAAGGTTACTAACATGTAGTGTGTCACACTTATTCATCTGTGGTATTTATTCTAGTACCGGAATTGTGTCCTCAAACTAAAATACTCGACTACAAATGCTCAGTAACAGCTTCCACTTAGAAAGTTCCTTTTTGTTAAGCAACTAGCACATCTAAAGGGCTCTTAATCTCAAGATCTGTCCATATTATTGGGTCTTGTTTGTGGTGCTTTGCTCCATTACCAATATACAGATGTGTTAAACAACTTGAACGTGCTGTTTCAAATCCATTTAATAAAATGTGGGCATTTTGTTTGGGTTGTTGTATTCAAACTTGGGAAATGAATCATTTCTCGCATTCTTGGCAAGGCAAGTAATCACAGAGGTGTGTATTGTGAACATGTAGGGACCTATTTGCGGGGCAAAAGTGACAGCACACCTTTAGCTGTAATATTTTTTGAAGCTCTTCAGACAGACACATTCAAACCAAATTGCTTCATATGAGCTGCCAGGACAGACTGCAGCTTTTTGTGTGTGTCTATTATAGTTTAAAATACTTTGACCTTTGCCTTCAGGTGATGATAGCCTGAGTTAGTCGAAGCTAGTTAATCAATGATTAATGCCGCAGTGGTTTTAAAATCAATGACTGAACAAAAACATGCACATTCAGGTTGATAATGAGAAGACTGTGATTGGTCTAAATAGGTTGTTTTCAGTTTATTCTTGCAGTGTGTTCACCACCAGTGTCTGTTGCTGACTGTAACAACCATTTTTCATATTCCTCCGTTGGATTGAAAAGGCCGGTTTGACCCTCAGTTGGCTTTTAAAACCTGGGAAAAACAGTTGTGATTGAGTAATGAGAGGAATTCAAAGCAGAAGATGGTAATGTTGTTGGGTTATTTTCTTTATTTAATTAGCTTCATGGACATTAGTGTCATTCTGCTGGTTTTCAAATGACTCCAACACCTTTGTAGGACTGCAGGTGGGGTAGTCCCTGAACATCTTTGTTTCCTCTTACAGAAACCTGTGCCTAATCTATATTATTTTCTACGGTGGCCCCTAGAGACAAAGCACGTACAAACTTCAAAACACTTGCAAACTCCAAAACACATGCAAACTAAAAAACACTTGCAAACTAAAAAGCACATGCAAACTCCAAAACACGTACAAACTCCAAAACGCTTGCAAAATCCAAAACACTTGCAAACTAAAAAACACTTGCAAACTAAAAAACACATGCAAACTCCAAAACACGTGCAAACTCCAAAACACGTACAAACTCCAAAACGCTTGCAAAATCCAAAACGCTTGCAAAATCCAAAACACTTGCAAACTCAAAAACACTTGCAAACTCAAAAACACAACGGAAGTGCTCCAGGACGCTAGGGGCAGTGTTGAGCTTTTGTTACCTAGTAACTACACAAGCCAAGAAAAAAAAAAAACAGTGGAAGCGGAGCGGAGGAAGAGTAAACTTTCAGAAGTAAGTACTGAATATTATGTCACTTATTAATGCGCAAATATTTTTTTAATGAAGAACATTAAACCATTATTGTTGGCCACATGTCGGGAAAGTTGACATTAGCGATGTTTGTACTTTCAGAATTAACTTGGTTTTAAAGCCTTTACTTTAATAAATATATATATAGTCGACCTTAATCTTACAGAGATTGTGATGATTTTGTGGATAATTAAAGTCAGTCATATATCCACAAACACAACAAGCTGAAAGTCAGTGATGCTGCTCGGTTCGCAGTCCTGAATATCACGGCACAAGCAGGATTCACTGCACTGTTAACGTTAGCTATGTTATATTGCTGCCTCTGTTCGGTGGTGTCGAGCCAAACGGACTTTAACGTGTGTTTGAACGAGCTGACGGTTCACTCGTTAAGCTGAAAGAAAGATGCTTTAATCACAGCAGTCACACATGTGTCCACTGTACCATCTGGGAACTCTTCTTGTTTTGTAATAACACAAGCTAAATCCTCCTTCTTTTGTGCTGTTGTGTAGCAGTGTATACACCTGAGACTTTAACCTGTCTGTCTGTCCTGCACTCGCTCTCTTTTTCTTTCTCTCTGATTGTGGAATAAAAGTATGAACATGTGTTTATAAGTTACACTTGTGTTTGAATCCTGCAGCTTATCACACATTTGGTTTCCATGTGTGACAACTGCAAGTGTCCAGAGTGAGGACAGACTGAGGGACCCACTGCTGCACATCATCTGTGAGGCTTTGCATCCCTGATGATCCACCGAACTCAACAGTGTGTGAGGAAGAGGAGGAGGAAGAGCCAGCAGCAGCTGACAGATGGAGAGAATAGACAGACTGTTCCCTGTTTGTGAAGGACTGCTAGAAAAGTTTAACATAACTGTCTGTCCTGAATCAGTCTTATTAGGTAATGTTCAAATAATTTTATCCTCCCAGTGCTTTCAGTGTGGGAGAAAGTACTCAGGGCCTTCAAGTTACACACTATGAAAGGCAGCAACAAGTTTAATATTCATAAACCTAAAGTATGTATCAGCAGCAGAATGGAGCTAAAAATAAATGTTTGTTCCACTTCTATGAAGCTTTGAGTATTTTGGATTAGTAGCACTGCTGTGTTTGTTGCATCATATTGCTGTAATTGTTTATATGCTTTATATATTCTGAGGTAAGTTGATCTATAGTGTTACATCATATTCTATAAGGATGTTATGTGTTTGTAGACTTTCTGCCCAGTTTGACCCATTTAGCAGAAGCCAGCCTGTTTAAGGCTCTGATATCTATTCTGTATGACTGAAAGCAGTTATGACATGGTCTGATTTTCTCACCCAATAAAGGAATATTTCATATATCAGTCTACTCTTCATTCTATCAGAAACAGTTATCACAGCTTGTACGTTTTCTTTTTATAAATATATGTAAGCAATGAGCCAAATTTAGTAATGCCAACATGAAGGAACAACATTTGTCTCTTATATATGATACACCTATATATGCACTGTCAAAGATACTTGTCTTTGAGTGAAGATTTAAGGTGATAAGACATAACTGCAACTTGAATCTGTACTGCTCAGTATTTGACACAGAGTTCATGTTCACTGCTGCAATAGCTAATAATGATTAATATAATAACTATAATATTGGCCATATTATATTTACATTACCAAAGTGATATGACTTTAGTCTCATGAACAACATTAGCTAATTCTTATTTACTAACTAATCTTAAATAACTGTTCAGTACAGAAATGAAGCCCAAAAATCATGTTTTACAGTCCTGTGGTCTCAGCCTCAGATACTTATCAAATCACACAAAGCTCTTGTAGAAACAAACAAACAAATGAACAAAATATATTCTCCTTCATTTCTGTCAAACCAAGTTGTATGACACGTTTCCAGCGGTTAGTATCATGGTTGCTAGGCAACCTGGGAAGCGCGACAGAGACTAGACCGTCCCATACAGACAAACTTGCAGTTTATTTTGCAAATAGAGCTCAACACTGCCCCTAGCGTCCTGGAGCACTTCCGTTGTGTTTTTGAGTTTGCAAGTGTTTTGGAGTTTGTACGTGTTTTGGAGTTTGCATGTGTTTTTGAGTTTGCAAGTGTTTTGGATTTTGCAAGTGTTTTGGAGTTTGTACGTGTTTTGGAGTTTGCATGTGCTTTTTAGTTTGCAAGTGTTTTTTAGTTTGCAAGTGTTTTGGAATTCGCATGTGTTTTGGAGTTTGCAAGTGTTTTGGAGTTTGTACGTGCTTTGTTTCTAGGGGCCACCGTAATTTTTATATATTTACACTGCAAAAAAGGAAAAAGCAAATAAAAAAAATGGTGACTTTTTCCCCCCATGTAAATAAATCACCTTAACCTTTTATAGGACACTCATTCAAATAAAAGGAAACTCAAAATTTCAACCCAAGGGTGTTCTCAGAACATATTACAGCTGTATATTTATTATTATATTTATTAACTGACTGGAACTTTTCATAATTATAACATCCACACCAAAGTGCATTTCTGTCGATGCTCAAGCAACAGCTTCATGGGGAAGCTTATGTATGGTGGCATTCTCCAATAAGATGATACTTTCTTTCAATGACTTAAATTCATTCACTGACTTGAGCATATGTATACACCCAAATACAGGGTGTGCTGTTCTCTGACATGGTGATAGGATAGCTTCTGTAAAAGAGCCAAATAGACAGTTGCAAAATTCAATCAGAACTAAATAAACCACACACTGAATTACTACATTGATTTTAGAATTAATAAGACTCACAGTAAACATATATGCAATTTAAGAGCTTTATAGTAAAAAAATGAACACAATCACATATTACACTATTTTTTTTTTATCTTGAAATTACTACAAGTGGTTTAAGCTTCTCACTGAGTGACTGTATAATGTTATACAAACTCGTGGGAGCTTATATGCTGCTCATTATGACTGTCATACGCTTATACCTAATAATTTATTTTTTAATTAAAAAAATGTTAACTGGATGCATCTGCTGCAGTTCAGCAGTTCTGTCTGAAAATTGATTTACCGACAGAACTGCTGAGTTCCTGAACTTGTACCTCTTTGTTGGATATGCCATATGCACCATGAGGTGCTGATGCAGTTGCCTTTTTTTGAACAGGCCCAGGTTTTAGCATGTTAATGCCTTATTATGCTACATATTACAATGAGGCTTTAGATAAAGTCAAGTACAAGGTCTGTTCTGAAAATAGCAAGATTACAAGGAAAACAGGCTCTTTAACAGCCTTTAATAGCAGGCTGATCGCTTTAATGAGGTAGAATATACCATAAAAGCATCCGACTGAAGATATTTCAACCAAAAAATAAAAATACTAACTGTATTAGAAAATACACTGATGTGAAAAAGCACTTTACCCCTTCCTAATCTCTTCTTGCTTTCTTTTTTAAATTAAGATTTCAGTTATTTTCTGTCAGAAAAACCTGAAGTAGAATGTCCAGCCATCAGTTCCATAACTCATAATTATGGTATATTCTCCTCATTAGCCTGTTATTAAAACACAGTTGTACTAGTTTAAAGATTAAATCTGTGTACATGTGGTTGGACATGAACTAAGGTATAGCCCTGAAAGTTTCGTGGGCACAATACAGTACGTTTTGATTTTTAAAAATATACATTTTTTTTTTTACTGAATTTCTATACTTTGTTATGTTCATATGTTTTGGAAAATTGTTCAATCCTAACATTTTTCACAACTCGGTTCCTGCCATTAGTGATATTTTATGTTATAATTACAAATATAATCGATAGAACAAAGACATTGCTGATCCGTATGTAAGATACTGCAAACAAAAAACTGTTTTT